TTTTTGTTGTGTTGTGTATGATTTTAATATCCTAAATTTCTCATTTTCCCGATAAACCTGATTTCTTTGTTCTTTGCCATATATAGGAGGGAAATGGTACTTTTGTATTTTCTTTCATAAACGCCCACACAGGGATGTGTTTTTATGTTTCTGATTTTCTTCGTCCTCTGTTTTGATCAGTTTGTTTTTAAAGCGAACTGTTTTGGTGATGACTGGTTTCCCTCAAAGGAAAGTGAAAGCAATGGATAGGAATAAACAGTCAATGTGTGGGAGGTGCACGGGACAAAATAATGGAGGGAAAGACCCAGGGGTGAGAAGACGGGAAATGAGAGGGGAAATAGGAGAACTGTAAAAGAAAAAGAAAGAGAGAATGGGGGAAGAGAGAGAGAGAGAGAGAGAGAGAGAGAGAATGTCTGTATGTGTGTGTGTGTGTGCGAAAGAGAGACAGAGACAGAAAGACAGACAGAGACAGAATTAAAGAGGGAGAGACAGAGAGAGAAAGAGAGGAGAGTGTGTGTGCATGTGTGCGTGTGAGAGAGACATAATTAAAGAGGGAGAGAGAGAGAGAGAAATAGTTAGACAGAGACGGAGAGATAGAGAGAGAGAGAGAAAGAAAGAAAGAGAGAGAGAAAAAAAGAGACAGAGTGAGACAGAGACGGAGACAGATAAAAAAAAAAAAAAAGAGAAAGAGATTAAGAGAGAGAGAAAGAGAGAGAAATTGGGTGCTCGGACACTTTGTCTTTGTATTCAAATAACAAATACGAGCTGTGACGTTAGTTGTTTAATCTCACGGAAAATATGCATGGAGTAGGAATGCAATGAGTATTTGCTTTTTGTGATATTGTCAACATGCCTTTTGAAAGATTCGTGAAATATTGTGAGCCATCTTGTTTGATTTAGTGTTAGAAAAAGATCTTCTAAGTTTTTCTTTCAATAGCATAACCATCATAACTCGTGATCATGATATCGGTAGGTCCATGGTCAAAGCAACGGAAATTACCATCTATGGGCATTGAACCGGTGCCAACCCGGATACACGCATGTAAAATAAAACAGAGGTGAACCAACATTGATTGCATTGAAATAAATACAAGAACAAAGATTCCCCAAAATATTCGTGAAAGAGAGTGATTCCCATGCATACATCCCAAATAATAGTATAGAGAAGGGGACGAAAGGTGCACTAAACAAATGGGAGAATAAAACTGGCATAAAGTGGGGAGGGGCTCAGCTTAGCCTATAAAGAATACTAGACCGATAATGTTGGTTCTCGTAGGCTTTCAAAGGGGTGTCAGTCTCAGGGGGACTTGAGTCGAGTGAACTTATTTTTTTTAAAAGTTGCCAGAAGACCTACGAGACCTGAATTATCGGTCTTACTAGTGGACTTAAGGTCTTGTGCCCATCGGTTTCGAGGTCGGTATATAACCAAGGAGTTATTATGTTTCCTCCCTGATCCAACACAAGCACTTACTAGATGCTCATCCACCCCACGTGTTTTCAAATATCTTACATCATGTTCCATTGAAATGTTTGATTTCAACTTACATGTAGTTCAGCCTATATTAACTCTTCATTGCAAACATTAAAATATATAGATATACAAAGTTTATCAAGGGTAAAAAAACAAGGTACATTAAATGAATTTATACCCCAAAAGTAGGGGCGCAATTTCAACAACAAATCTCCTACAAGCCAAGATAGGGGTATCAGAATTTTAAGGGGCATATTTGGTATTAACAGATCCACCCCTTCTCTGATTCCAGGGACTTGTATTTAATTTAGGAACCCCCCCCCCTAAGCCTCCAGAACCCCTAGTTTGTTCAGCTCTGTATATTTCTTTCAATCTATTTTGCAATGTTCTTGCTGTCTGTTTTTTTAATATATGGAATTCCATTTTAACGATGATTTAGGACAAATTGAAAGTGGTTCAATTTGTTGTGCCGGAATTTTCATTAAATATTCTGGAAAGATTCTGTCATAAAGACGAATGTCAAATGATGAATGTAAACTTTAGATGGGTTTCCGTTAACCCCCTACCCCCCCCCCCTCAAAAAAAGTGTAAGAAACTTTTAGTATAAATTGAAAACCTGTTCCTACAAGTTACTTCAAGTTTTACCAGTTTTCCTTTGTTGTCCAATTATATATACAAATCAAATCCTGTATAATTTATATGATTTGACTTGCCCAGATATTGGTGATCAAGGCTTTTAGTTTACTTCTATCTCTAGTTCGCTGTAATGTAACGTTACTTCTGTTACCAGACAGCCCAATTAACTTATCCATGTATTTTATGCACTTTTATGTCTCCCTCTTATTTTGTTTCCCTCAATTTTCTGTGCCTTCTCTACTCATAATATGGACAACAAACTGAAGTTGTATTTTCCCGTGACTTGCCTAATTTGTTTTAAATTCAAATACAATAGAATGTAAAACACAGACAAATCCAACAACAAATGTATCTCATTTTCATTTACGGCTATGTTTTTATTCTTATGTGAGTCGAAATACAAAATTCTCTCTTTCCCTTCTTTATTATCCTTCTCTCTTAGTATCCTCTCCAATTTGTTTCTCCCTATCTATCTTTTGTTTCAACTATAATCTTAGTTGGACCCCCTTTTTCTTCTAACTGCACATCATCCTCGTCTCGCTCTTTTCCTCATTATTTCCTTTCCTCTCTCTCTTTCTTTCTTTACACGTTCTTGTATATTTGTATTAATTAAGTGGATCTAGAGTATTACAAGCTTCGCTTCTCTTATGGGTTCCCCACGCGCTCTCTCTCTCTCTCTTCAGCTTGAAACAAAACAAAAAATATTATGTTCTCTTTCATCATTTGATGATACAGGCTATATTGTGTAAGAGTTATTAATATGTTAAAATCTATGATATTTATATTTGTTTTTCAATGGTATTATGTTTTGTACACAGTGTTAAAATTGTTTGAGATGTGTGGAAATAAATAAACAAACTTGAAAGTAGTCTTGAAGTATTATTGCACTTTATTTATATACATATATACATAGTCACAAGCAAAACATAAGAGATAGGAGCTCAATATTTATATACAATAACTTAAACTGCAAACCGTTTATGCCTTTTTCCTTTTCCTTCTTTATCCTCCTTATCTCTAACTTCCCTGCTTTATTTGGTATTCGCCGACACAAATCATCCCAATTGTCCAGGTACTGTTGGAGTCATCGAGGCCCATAATTCTAACGAGTACCTCGAAAGGAAGGTGTGGGATTATTTTTTCGTTATATCCTGCATCATTTATTAATTATTTTTTTTATTACAAAAATTAGAATTCTATCCAAAAAAAATTTAAATAATTTTACAGTTAAAAAAAATTATCAAAATTTGTTTTCAACTCCTAAATAGTACTTCTGCTCCCAAATAGTACTCCTAGATAGATTTAGGAAGAGTATTAAAGAATAACCTATTTTTATAAAACTACTTTACCATGATAATAAACAAACAAATTGATTACAATTCACCATCCATTTCCATAATCATAATATTCAGATTTCATGGTAAAATATCACATTTTTTCTCTATTCTAAGAATATAGTCGTTGTATAGTCACAAAATTTGTTGCAATAAATAAGTACAATCTACTTATATATGTACAAACATGCGAGCAAAATATATGTGTCAGTTGTATTTGTTTTGATCTAGAGACGATCGATATATATATAACTTTAAGCAGAATATCAAGATTTCGAAGAAAAAAAATATCAAAGGATTATTTTACATATACCGATCCTTGAAGGAATATATTCTGATACGTAACAAATCACGATATTTCCAAATTGAATAATAACGTCGCTGTTTTCACGAAGTGACGGTAGTGACAAAAAATTGCATTTACTTTGCGTTACGATTTTCCTCACTACCGTAGATTGTGTACTATTGATTAAAGACCGGGCTGCTAACCAAACAATGCCTTTGAAAGCTAATATATACATCTCAAATTGGCTTTTAGAATGAATCACTAGATTACGACGTATACAATAAAGTAATGCATGATGAGAAGTGCGATATCCATATAACATAAAAAAGCTGCAGTGGTATATTGAGAAGTTAAAATATAATTCAAACAAGATTCAAAATCAACATGATCAATAGGTTTGTATAACATGTCTGTATAACAAATATATTTAAAAAAAGGCATATTCTTGATTTCTGGAGCAGAATTATGCACATTCTAAAAAATGTATTCAAGTTTAAATCTTGATGCCATAATTCGACAGAGAAACCTCTCAAATTCGTCAGCCTTGTGTCTATCAACGAAACATTGAATAACCAAACAATATTGAAATTCATTTATCAATTTGAAACTTAATGTATGAATTTAACTTATACTTGAATATAAGAAACATATACATGCATATCGAATGAAATAAACAAGTTTGGTCCTTTCGTTTAAAAAAAAAAATATATAATCATGCTCAAAAGACTCATAGTGAGACGAAAGTTTTTGCATAAAATTATCTCGAATGTGCATAATATATACGTAAGTATGAATAATAGATATCATCATATAATCAGAGTTGTTTTAAAGTGCAAAGCGATCGACTGTTTGATAAATGTACGTATTCGTTCAAATTCTATCTTAAACTTGATAAGCATGATTGTGATTGTGCGATAGCTATTTCCATTTTCAGTGACAAGGAGCGGCATGCTAAACAATTCTATTCAATTCAGCTGTCATAATTATGAAAGTTTTTCTCTGAAAATAGTGTTTATCTTTCGCATTGTTTTCTTTCTATATATATATATATATATATATATAATTCATATCCTTCTCTTCATATCAATACATAGAGCACAAGTATACTAGATGATATTATGTGCTGATCGTGATATTTAGCAGCATATTATCAAAAGGGCTACATAAATGTTATATATCGAAAAATATTCACATCTATGTAGTTTTAATTTTACGTGGTAGCACGGGAAGTTACAAAAAAGCTTTCTACAACGGCCATGTAGGTCTAGATTAAGTACATATATAATATGATTAAATATTGAAATTATAAAAAGAATTATGAATAAATTCTTTATAGATCTAGGCCTACATGCACCAAACCATGATATTAATTATAGAACATATTTATTACAGTAAACTCTGAACAGTGATTTCGACATAATGTAGGGACAGATTATAATGATCAATATTCTTTATAGTTTTGAAATATTACTTATATATATTGTTTGACATAAGTTTTGCAAATAAACAAATATATGTACGAAGTACAAGCACCTTCTACGCACACACAATACACAAAGCCCGTTTGTAACAAAAATAATATCTTTATCGAAGGGATCTACTGATCCAGTGGATTGCAATTAACACTTAAAATATACCCCGTTTATATCTGTTTACACTCAATTATATCACTCGGTTTCACACCGGACGACCGTCAGTGTGAACGTGACTGTAGAGACGACCGTCAGTATGAACGTGACTGTAGAGTCGACTGTCAGTATGAACGTGACTGTAGAGACGACTGTCAGTATGAACGTGACTGTAGAGACGACCGTCAGTATGAACGTGACTGTAGAGACGACTGTCAGTATGAACGTGACTGTAGAGACGACTGTCAGTATGAACGTGACTGTAGAGACGACTGTCAGTATGAACGTGACTGTAGAGACGACTGTCAGTATGAACGTGACTGTAGAGACGACTGTCAGTATGAACGTGACTGTAGAGACGACTGTCAGTATGAACGTGACTGTAGAGACGACCGTCAGTATGAACGTGACTGTAGAGGTTGCAATACAGTCATGATAATGTGTACAAATCAACAAGGGATGGACGTTGCATGTACCTTATACCTTATTGAATATTTGTCATACTGAGTTTATAATGGGTGTCAATCAGACATGCATTTTGCGACTGGGGCTATCCGAAAGACGTAACCGTGTTTCGAACCGGGGTCCATCAGAGTCAGTTTGATGGCGAAGACAAGATAGGTGACCGTACCACTGGACCAGCTATCTTCTATATTATGCTCCTATACTGGTTCAGATGCAGGCCCTCCTTTTTTTTTTCTCCAAATTACTAAAGCTATGACGATGATGATGATGAATACGAGAACCCCCACTACAATGCCCACTGTTACCCAATTACCACCGCCGCCACCACCACCACCACCACCACCACCATCGCGTTCCTCGGCTGTGGAGAGTAACACATATCAGGATAACGGTTAATAATGAAAAATGATTTGTTTTTATTTAGAGTAACAGGGCATTTCATGATCAATTGTTTTCAAGCGACATCTTCTTCTACGATGTTCTACCGGACTAATATATTACAGAGAATGAAAAGGCTATCAAACAATTTTGTATAAATATTTACCAGAACATAACCTTCACTGTAATATTAATTAATTATCGTCACATAAAGTCATTCAAGTTTATTTAGATTTGATGCGGTAAGCCGCAGCAAAAAAGAGTAAATTATTGCAATCTGCGCGCCCCAATAGGTATGTTTCAATTTATGTTGTTCCGTTGTCTCTTTTTTTTTTTTTTTCTCAACAAACACTTAAATGATAATAATGATAATAATAATCATAATAATAATCATAAGCATCATCATCATCATCACCACCACCATCATCATCATCATCATCATCATCATCATCATCACCACCATCATCATCATCATCATCATCATCACCATCATCATCACCACCATCATCATCATCATCATCATCATCATCATCATCATCATCACCACCATCATCATCATCATCATCATAAAACATCGTTCATTAAAAGATTAGAAATGAAACTCATGTTACCTTTATTTAAGACAACTACGTATTCTTCTTTGGTCAGCCCGGCGGTTAGGTTAAAGCGGATATCGGATGACGACGTGAGGTCGATGACATGGACTATATACCTGGCCGTGATAGTGATAGAATTGTCTTCATTGCGGGTCGTGTTCTTCGTATCTTCTTCGACGGGTATATCGAGGGAATCGACCGTGAGTGTTGGGTTGAGTGTGGTTCTGAGTCCGGCCTTGATGAGGGTGAAAGTGAGACTTTCGGTTCCGTTCGGTACGGTTACTCGGCAGGGCGTGGACTGGTTTGCATCCGTGACATTGCACTCCAATACCCGGAGCGGGGGTTCTATGTACAGAGAGAGGGAGAAAATAATGATGTTCAGTGTCATGTTACGAATATGAGGGGAAAGGGATCATGGGAGAGAGAGAGTATAGAATATAGAGATAGCAAGAGATGGGAGAGAGGGAGAGAGGATGAGTAATTCGAAGAAGAAAGAGAGAGTGGATTAGAGTGAAGGAGATGGATAGTGAGAGACAACGAGGGGCATGAGAGAAAGAGAGAAAGAGAGACAGAGAAAGAGAGAAAGAGAGACAGAGAAAGAGAGAAAGAGAGACAGAGGAAGACACTTTCAAAAAGAAACTTAAAAGTAAAACCCAACTCTTTCCATCTTGAATCCATAATGTACATTTTGAGTAGCTAAATTTTCTTTTTGTTCATAATATCTTAATTACTGTTCCTTGTTTAATTGTTATGATTTGTATGTCTCTTTTCTGTTGTATAGCGCTCTGATCAGTTTGTCTGTAGTAGCGCTCAATAAGAATCAATTATTATTATTATTATTTATTATTATTATTAAGAGAGAAAGATGAGGTAGGAAGAGGAGCGGCAGAGCGAGTGAGAACGGGGTATAGAGAACATAGACATTTAGTAAGAGGAGAGTAGATTTGAGAAGGAAAAGAGGGGGTACAAACAAAGAAAAAAATTAATCCCCATCACCGTCGCCATTGTCATGATCATCTTCATCATTACCACAACCACCAACACCACTATACAACCACTATCATCATCATCATCGTCGTCGTCATTGGTGTTTATTATCATCATTTATAAGACATTTCGTGAAGGGGCACTAGTGACGTCTGGCCATTGAGGGATACTGGCATCGTGAGAGGGGGGGGGGGGGGGTGGGGGCGGGTACACCGTTCCAAGTTAGTGGAAGAAACGCAAAATAACCACTTAACGATTATAGGGGAAAGGTTTTGGAGGAGTCTGTATAATCATCTTTTCATCTTCATGCCCCCACCCTCTTCTCTCTCTACCTCTCTTCTCCTTATTCCTCCCTCTCTTTCTCTTTCCTTCTCTTTCCCTCTCCCCTTGTCTTCCTTTTTATCTTCACTTTTTGTTTTTTCTCTCTCTCTCTCTCCCTCTCTCTCTCTCTCCTGTTCTGCCTTTTTTTCCCCTCAATGCAATCGGGGGCGTGTACTCCGCCTCGTGCCATCATCATCTACACCACTGATAATTCCCTCTTTAGTTTTGCAGGGACAAGCACATTGTCATCATCACCCTCCTCATCAACATCCATATCATCGACATCATCGTCGTTGTACGCACCTAAAACTGTGACCCTTGTACGAGTTTTGATGAACTCATTCGGTCGCGAATAGTCACAGATGTACACCCCCGTTGCAGAATAGTCGTTCTGCACTGAAAGCGACCCATCATCATGGAGTTTGGTGACATTTGGATTCGCCCGTTGGTACGTCACGCGTCCGTTAACACGTAGAACCAAATCCTCCTGCTGATCATCTTTTGTTAAAGAAAAAAAACACGGGAGATCGTATCGGCATGTCAATTTATGTTTATTACATTCCCATTGCATAGTAGGCGTCACTTGCCAGGCGTATAATAGACTACGTCAGCGACCGGCGCGGTCTTGGAGGATGAAATGATTTATAAGTCCAGTGAATACAAACCAACAGTTCAAACATTGCGTTGAATTGCTGACGCATGAACTAGTAACGCATCAGCTTGATTAGCGTATGTAAAAGCGCAAGCGAAATGACCCCTCGTGTGAAATTGACAATGGGACATCTCTGTCGCATCCGGAAATCTAGCAACCATCTTTGAATGATTATATTTTAAGACATCCTTTCTTCTGGACGTTCATACATTGATATAACTTCTGTCAGCAAATTTAAATTCTAAAAAGCAACCCTTCCCTTAACCCCTATCATAAACCGTATATTTTCTCAACTTTCACAATAAATTATAGATAGAGAAAATCGAAGTTTTAGACAGATTATTTTTTAGTTATAAGCATATCCAGCATTGGGTGCAGATATTTTGATATTTCTAAATAAAGAACGCCCCTGATTTAGCTTCATTTTAAATAAATAATAAACAGAAAATCTTAAATGGACTCAAGCGATCTGCCAGTAACTGCATGGCGGTCCGCACGTCAATAGCCACTTCGAGGCAGTTTTGTGCAGTACCTTCTAGAGCCATATATACATATATTTTGACCAACTTCGTTTCTTGGCGTTGTTCTTTAATTTTGTTCTTGCCCAACAAAGCAGTATTCGCCATGGTGCCGAACTCGAACCTGGAAGGCCAAACTCTCCTAATAAATGGCTTTGGTACCTTCAATACAAGACAAATCGAGACAACTAAATATGAAATTCGTAGTACACTCACTCTTCCAATAGATGTCGGTGTTATTGATAGTTTGTCCACCGGATCTGTCAAGGAAACATGGGATGTCGATGTCTCCAGAGCCCCATTCTCTCGTCACATTTTGCATGTCATTATCAGCTGCCTCACTGAAGTACATGAGACAGGCGATAATACCTGTAAAGACAATGGTTATGATAATAATAATAATCACACTAATAATAACACTGTATTACCAGTGGGTCGTTGTATAGCGCTCATGTCTATCAGGTTTGACTCCTAACACTCCTGGCCCAGATTAGGCATGGCTGCGCTCTAGGATGTCAAGGAATGAATTCCTGCTAGGTACCCATTACTTCACATGGGTTGAGTGTGGCAAATGTAGATTAATGTCTTGCCAAAGGACGGTTGTGCTTAACAATAATAATAATAAGAAGAAGAAGAAGAAGAAGAAGAAGAAGAAGAAGAATAACAACAATAATGATAATAATGATAATATTAATAACAACAATAATAATGATAATATCAATAATAATAATAACATTAATAACAAGAATAATAATAACAACAACAACAACACTTGGTTCTCATAAATGGCGAATAATAATCATATGTTTAATCATACCTAATCATACGAAAAGATAAGAATAATAATGGATTAATCTCTTAGTATAAAACCTTTAACTACCGTAGGGGATTTGACAATATAAATAGCTTTAAAATAAATGCATGCTAATGCATCATGGGGTGGGGGTCAAAACAATTCAAGCAGAGAGTATGTAATGGATTACTTTCAATTTAGTATCAAACACCATTAGCATAAATAATGTACATGAATATTTCGGTTTATGACAAATAAATTAGAAAATGAATAGTAACGACAAATGTACATTCCAAATGATTATAAATGTAAATTTACTTATAACATATGTTAAAAAGATAATAATGATAATAACAAAAATGATATGTACTACTTATTGCGTATTGCATAATCCAATAAAAATTAAAACGATCACCTAGACTTTCCAGAAACCAATAGCCTTGTTCATCCTTTTTTTATAATCCTATTGATTTAGCTTTGATATCCTAAGGTACATATTTTCGATTTCTCAAAAAAAAGAAATAATGTCATCTATAAATCAAATGTTATCAGAAATTCTATTCCAATGAGACGCAAGACGAGCTCAATTCAAGTGACTAATTAGATGGTGGAAACGCAGTCACGAGCAGTCATGTCAAAACAAAAGATTGCGTTGGGGATTTCCACACTCCTAGTCTTAGAAGTGCAGACTTGATAGTTTACTTATTAGTATGTCCTGAATTGGTACACAATGATAATAGTCTGGAATTATACAGCGCTTCTGACTGTGTACACTTCATAGCTATTTTTGTATTTGTCGTGAGATTCATGCATGCACATACACAACGTGTGCACCATCTTTACTTCCTTGAGCCCCAAGTCACCGCAAAGATCAATTTTATGGCAAACAAAATCACATTGCCTTCGTCGTCATACCTCGTCCCCATTTTTCTCCTGAGGAAGAAGTGGAAAATGTAATTGCAGTATTGAATCTCGAACCCAGAGAAGGAGGGCTAGATAGAGGGCGAAGGAGGGGGGGGGGGGGGGTGGGGGTGAAAAGGAACGAACGCCAGAAGTTGGTAGAGGTTACATCAACAAAGATATATTGTGCAGTGTGCATTTTACAGATTAACAATGTAATTTAACACACTCCAATCACAACAAAATGGAATTTATGAATACAAATCCGTTTGACGTAAGTTTATTAAAAAAAGAAGAGATTATCCCTTTTATATACTGGTGTTAACTTTTTCTTAATTTGCTAATCTATTCGCGGTTAATTGTTATTTTCAAATGGTATTGGTCTAGTGTTTCCCTCTTGATGACAAGGTATGTTAACTAACAGACTAAGCTAGCATCTCTATCTCTCTCTCTCTCTGCTTTACATCTCGGATAGCCCATATTACTGTGGGGGGAAACCCACAGAAGATGAATTGCCATCGACTTAAGCATATTCAAGCATTTCCCAGGGTTCTTGTTCTCCTCAAAGGGAATCACGGATGACAATGTTGTTTGACTAAGGATGTTCGTATGTGCATAATGGCGTGTGTTGTATTTAAATACGATCACCAAGACTTTCGAGAAATCAACTCACGTGCAGTTTTGAGCCATTTTCTTGCCTGTAATGAAATCGTACGTATGATTGTATTGCAATGTTCGCGCAATAGTTTTTTCAGAAGGTAATACACTATTGAATAGGCCTTTTCTGCTAATATGGGGGGGGGGGCGTGGTGGCGATAATGCTAAAATTGTGAGTGTTGAGCCCATTTGACGATGTGACAGGGGAACTTTTCCCAGTGGGGTAATGAGCAAAAACGGTTGGGGACAGAGAAAGACAAAAACGGAAAATCCTGTAATTTCAGCAACATTTGTAATTTGTAAATCACTGGTAGCAAATTAGTAATAAACAACGTTTGAATTTTATTTGGAGGGTTACTGCCCCAGGCGTCGTTTCAAATCGCTTATTTTTTGTTTTACCTGCGCATGCATTAAGCGAGTCTGTGAATGCAGTTTGATTCTTGACAATAGAGAAACTCAATTAAAAAAACGTGATAAAAAACATAAAAATTGTAAATACCATGGTAATGGGTTGTGATTTCACAGATTAATTTCTTTGTAAATGTATTGATTCATATGCCCACGCATTCAAAGGCATTCAAACTTTCGGTGAACTATCCTCGTATGATCATTGAATCCATGAGCCTTGAGGTGTGCCAGTATTTTTTTCAATTTCGTGAATGAACCGTAATAGAAATTCCATTAATGGAAGGTATACCGGTGCTGCATTCAGTTGGGTTATTTATTCATGTAAATGACATTCACACCAGCTTGTTCAGTTAGCAAAAATTTACACACAAACATTATTATTTTAATGTAAAGCATAAAATACATGAATAACGTACAAACTTAAATGCTTCAAAAATAGTCAAATGATCAGAATGACAAACATTGGGTGATTAATTATTATAGAAGACTGAAATCTAATCTGGTGAACAAATAGTGTGCGATACGTTTAGAATTATTATTGTTATCTATCTGAACACTGAGGCTTAATTTCTGGGTTGATAACATAGAATCACATCCAGCCCTTCCCTGTCCGAGCCATTTTGCCTCTGCATCATCACCCCGCCCCCTCACCACCCCATCTCTCTTCTCTTTCCCTCTCTCTCTCTCTCTTTTATCTCTCTATATAATTATATCTACATCCATGTCCTCTCTGCCTCCCCATCTCCCCATCCCCTCGAATTTGGCCATTGATTTCTAATCCGACCATTATACAGTACACTATCCGCATTTATTGTAAACCCATGCATGCCAGACTCTGCAATTACATCAGAAGAAACACTATGTAATACCTTCTGCTGAGTGCCAGACGGGCATTAACTGTGTGTAAATCTTTATGATTGAATGCCCTTATGGCTCTTAACATACGATATAAAGAACCCCAAAAGCGATCGCAAAGACTTTGACCAGAAAACAAAATCAACCTGACCTAGGTAATTTCAAGAGCATTGTTTGTTACCTTTTGCAATATGCAACATCAAAATGCAACACGGCATAATCCATACATGGTTTCTATGCGCAATACAGCAGAGTATCGAATTGCCCTTGGTTTGATTTCGTGTAGGTCGTTGCAATCGAGTTCTGACAGAAATTTTAAAAACAGAGTCGATGCCTTGAAAAGCATAACAAATGCATCGCATGAACCACTCCCGCTTCGCTCGCGATCCATATTTTAAATTATGCCAACTCAGAATATAAAAACTTACCGAATGCTACGATAATGCCCTTCATTGTTCTTGTTCTAAAACGTCCACTCTGATCACAACAAATTCACACCGTCCGTCCTCGACAAACGCTAAAATCTAATATGACCGTAGTCTTGTGATCGTAGTATTTATATTGTGTACATTTCGCAACGCGCGTTTAGGGGATTCCCCTTTTCAAAGAAAATGGACCAATCAGATCAACAACCCCGGGAGAAGGGGGGGGGGGGGGGTGTGAGGCTAAATTCACGGCTGGGAAAGAAGTGCGTAAAATCACGTGCATTACTTTGTGTCTCTGTTGTGTAACATCGTGTGCTTACCAGTCTACAGTGTTCATTACAAGGGCCTCTATCTTACTATATTGTTGTATATTTTAAAATGATACTTTAGATTAATTAGAACCTTAATATGAGTAACTTACAAATGAAACAACGTTATATTGGATAAAGCTGAACTAATGAATATAGATTTGAAAATATACATAAACGAGTATAACAATTACAAAGAATACAAGAAAAGTAGGTAACGAAAATACGTGTCACTTCGATTGACGTGCTCACATTCGGTTCAAATGTAAATATCAGACTGATATTAGTTGAGTTTATATGTTTTATATTGACGTCATCTTCCCATCCCGTTTATATATATTCAAAATAATGCTTGCTTCCAAATGCACTTTTGTGAGATGTTTTTAACATGACTTGTGGACATTTTGAAATACTACTCTTCTTTTTTTTAAATGTTAATATTCATAAGTCGCCCACGCGATCTCGTGCAAGAGTCGGGTTCATAAACGTAACAAAGAAATAAGAATGATGTAAGAAAGAAGCTTTCTGGCAGGAGGCCAAAAAAACATGTGACTTGGATATTATTGCGCAATGCAAACTGGGGATTGTATTCATGTTCAACCAACATCACAAAATAACCTGGATGCTTTGATAAAATGGTTTATCATAAACAAAAGGAAGATAAGTTCTATTATACAAAATGTAGATTTGTGGTCCCGTAGTTTTGAATGATTTCTTGGAACGATCACGTCTATTTGTTCGGGTTTGTTTCGGCACGCATTACAGCTAATGAAGTGTATAGCACATTCCTTCCGTTACTATAGTCCGCACTTGCCTTGCAATACGGATGAGCAGTGGCGTAGACAGGTTCGTACACCTGGGGGGATGACTCAGGGGCGGATCTAGCTTTTTGCTAAGGGGGGGGGGTTGACCAAAATAGTGACGATGCAGAGCATCGTCCACGAGCCGCGAAGCGGCGAGCCGATTTTTTTGGGGGTGTTTATTTGAACCCCGTGAGTGATGTTTTCCTGGCATCTATTAACACAATGGAGACCATAAAAAGCAGTGCATGATAACGTCTTTTTAAATCAAGTAACAGTTAAATACACAGTTATATCCAGAGTTATCATGTGTTTGGTTAAGTTACCAGATGAGTTGAATAGCTTCTCACAATATTTGCACTTGAAAGGGTTTCTCTCCAGCGTGCGTTCTTTTTTCTTTCTTTTTTTTTTCTTTTTTTTTTCCCCCTTGTTTTGTGTTTGTTTTTTGGGCCGCCCAAGGGGGGTTTAAACCCCCTAACCCCCCCCCCCCCCCCCCGTAGATCCGCGCCAGTTTAATCTTGTGGTTATCTTGTGGTTTCCAAACCACAAGATAACCACAAAATACTTGTAAGATTTTCTTTTTTTTACCGTCTGAATTGGCTTTCACCGTGTGAATGCGGCTAATAACAATAAACACAATAATGATGAGGATTATCATTATCATCATCATAATTATTATTATTATTAATATTATAATTGTTATCATTATTATTATTAATATTATTATCATCATTATGACTTATTAAGTAAGCAAATATCATTCCCCAAAACCTGGGGGGATGATTGTACATGCCACCCCCCCCCCACCTTGTGAGGTAGGGGGGATGCATCCCCCTCATCCCCCCCGTTGTCTACGCCCCTGCGGATGAGTATCGAAACTTGCTGTGATTACTAACTTATCAGCTCTTAAAAGAAGCATGCGGTGTTTGAAATAAGAGAAAAAATATTTATTTTGTCTTTGAAATATTATTCAATCGTTATGGTTATATTAAGAAGGATTTTATAGAAAGCTGTTTTATTATTCCAATATTAATATTTGTTTTAGCCTGATTTATTCATCGTACATGAATAAAAAATGACGGCTAGAATGTTTTCTTTCTATTTTTGCCTCAGTTGTTTAAAACTTTTAGAGGCATGATAATGGCACTAAACATCACCAAACATGGACAAAACTATAACTTCATATGAGATATCCCGATTTTAACCAAGGTATGCATGTATATTATTTTGCTATTATATAAACTTATAGTCAACTTTAAGGGGCATATTTTTCATCGCCATCCAATTTCGTGAAACGGTTATATTTTTTTGACCCGGGTACCCGGTTTTTAGTCCCAGCCCTCTTATTATTGGATGGCGAACAAAATAAGAAGTATATTTATAGAGAGTACTAAAGTATGTAAGAACACCCAAGGAGTATATTTGGCAATTCAATATTATTGGTATGCTTAAATATGATATAATTATAAAATCATGAGAACTTTATCTCCTTAAAGTTGAAGGATTGAATATTTTGAATTTTGGAAGATAAACATGTTCCATACTGTACCACTTGCATATTGAAAAGATTACTTAAAAAACTCTACATTTAGATTCGGTTGAACAAAATTCGATGTATCATAATTTATAGTATTAAGACCATGCCTATACCAACATCAACATCAAATTCATTGCACAATCTATAGGGGCAAGACCGTAAATACGTTTATATAATTATTCGTACTGTCCGTTTTTTGGAGTTTAAGTATTAATTCCCTGTTTTTAGAGGAACAGTTCCCCCAAACTGAAAAAGCATAATCAATGACAGATTGTAAATTACTGTTTACAGTTGAGCTGAGTCTTCCTAACGCATGTACTTTTAAACGAAAGTAATCGACATAAATTTTTAACGTGAATATCCCATGTAAGATGACAATCTATACATCGACTCCAAGATATCTCACATTATGTACTTGTTGTAATATATTTCCCTCAAGATTAATTTTGAGTTCACCTTTTTGTTTTGTATTGAGCGTCGAAACTAAGCATGACACTTGTTTTAATTTTGTAACTTTTATTTTTTGAACGATTTTCATAATACAATTATTAATATTATCAATACAAATGTTTTTTTCAGCCAAATTTGAACCAGAAATAATATATACAGGGGCGGATCCAGACATTTCTTTCTGGGGGGCACATGGTGGGAAAGAGAACATATATATATATTTGTTTTAGTCCCAACAAAAATCGCAACGACTCAGCCAACGGCTGAATAAGCGGGGGGGGGGGGGGGGGGGGGTAATAGGACACTTTTTTTTTGGGGGGGGGGGTCACGAAATTTTTTAATTTGGCATTTTGCTCCGTTGGGGGGGAGGGGGTAAGGTCACCTATGCCCCCCCCCCCCCTCGCCACTGATATACTATGACATCGTCAGCAAATATGTTACAACTTCCACCAGAATCACTTTGAACAATATCATTATTAAAAATCAATTAAGAAAAAATCTGGTCCTAAAACCCCACTTTGTGGAATACCTACAGTTAACTTAATTGGTTTAGATTGTCTTCCATGACATCAAACAACTTCCCTTTTATTTGAAAGATAACTTATAAACCACTGAAGCTCATTCCCTTATATTTAAAAAAAGTTAAATAAGAGTAGCTTATGATAATTGAATCGAAACAATTAGATACATCTATAGAAAACAATCGCCAACCATCAATCTTTGACGATTATTAAGGGCTTCATATACCAGTCATGGCAGTCATCAACAAGACGATGGAGGCATGTGACAGTTGAATGACGTTTACAAAACGCAGATTGATCAATGATTAGCATATTCTTACCAATTAAGTGTTCATGCAAGTTAGTCTGAATAATCTTTTCCACAATTTTTGCAACATGACATTCAAAAGATATTCGTCTATAGTTGGAGCATACATCTTTTGAACCATTACCCTTATAAATTGTTGAACTCGTGAACATTACCAGTCATTATACCTCGTGTTACAATTCCAAATTTAATCGAATAATTCAATAATATAAGGTTGATGATTTATATAAAATTATACAAGAAGCTGTTATTTTAAACAATTTCGAATCTATGTCTAAATTACTGTCAGGACCAAAACTGGATGATAGTTAAAAGAACATCATTTTTCCTGGATAGTTCCCATTTAAAATTCATAAACGCATTCAAGATTTTTCCATTTAAGTTAATATAAGAGATTTTGCTAAAATGTGTCTGAAATCACACATCTATGCGGCATTTGCACAACAAACAATGCCTAATCGGTGACCATTGGTCTCCCATAACTTAATTCTCCTTTTTACTTATGTTATTTGAGAGCTGAGTTGATGAGATAACCACCTCTCCAGTGACCTTGCAGGGTGGTCTCATCCCTACTTTACACTAGTAAAGATGGCCTTTAAGTAGTCCCATTAAATTAAGAATGTCATTATCCATCCAAGGACCATATAATCCCAGAATTTGAAGAGGAACGTACAAAGCATGGGATCTCATTTGAAAGTGGCAAGTTGAGTATTATTTACCCGGATTATTTATCTCATTTTCGACTTAAATCTTTGTAACCCATTATATACCTACAAAAATCAACATGATACTTACTGAACAGGCTAAGGTAATCTCCATGCTTCACAGATATAATCAATTTTCCATTCATTTTTTGAATCGTTCAAGCCTTGCACTTTCCACAATGATAAACCAAGGAGTTGGATAAACTTGCTATCCCGTCCCGCGGTCGTGAATTGACAGTAATTTTATGCTGCAGAGAGCGACCACGAAATTCATACAATTCGCAATGCATAAATTATTGAGTAATGAGAATTACACTCCAGTATGAAGCCGCTGTACGATATTCCCACCGTGGTACGATAATCAGATAATGTCCTACGTCTCTCCCAGTCGTTTGCTATTCTGTGTCTTTGGGGGTTGAGGGCTAAATTTATATAAGGTCTGGGTGAATTTGGAAATCCCCATATTGCAATGTCCTAAAATAATTAATTGTGATGTCATCTCAATGTTTTGAGTTACGCACGCGTAATTTTAAGTCAGCATTGACCATGCAGTCGCGAGTGGCGTGCGAGTTTTGCGCAAACACGCGTGCGGTTATGCTGTAATTTAAATTCAGCCCTTTCGAGTTCGACTTTGAGCCATGATTTGAAAAAAAAGACCAACAAAATCGAACAATGTTATATGATATTATTTCGTTGAAAACTTACAACATCAGAACATTTTGAGTCAATGTGCGAAAGCAGTGTTATGCATTTTATCGAAATACTTGTTTATTTTGGCGTATCCAACAGAGGATTAAGCCGGCATATGCATGCCCCCGTCCCCCCTCCCTGTTTAGAGCCAGCGTAAGCTTTAAATGAAATATGACGTGCATTGAGAAATCACACGGGCTGCTTAGGTACATGTAGCCCCCCCCCCCCCACGGTTTAATAATTTCTGTTTACATCCTGCCAGGTTGAAGTCCAAAGACATTACGTTCTTGAGCTAGCCACAAATAGAAAATTACGTCAAAATGACCCATATTATATGAGATTAGCGGGAAGCTGCCTTATTCATGCTTGTAGCAACTTATTTCCTCTCTGTATATCACAACAACAGGGTGATATATTTTTTAAAGAGTTTATATTAATCTCATCAAAGGGCGAAAGTGGCCGCTTCATCCCCCTACACACACACACACACACACACACACACACATAGGCGTCGGAATTGGGGGGGGGGGGGGGGTAACACTAACCACACACACATAGGCGTCGGAAGTGGGGGGGGGGGGGGGGGTAACACTAACCACTTATTTCCTCTCTTTACAAAACGCATTTTGCCCCCCCCCCCCCCCCTCCAAAAAAAAAAAAAAAAAAAAAAGAGAGAAAAAAAGAACATAATAATAAAAACTTGAAGACCCCTGTTACACATACGTCTGAAAGTGGACTGAGGCCGGCCCCGGAGGCGGCTCGACGTATGTGTAACACCAACTTTTTTTGAAAAGCCGGACTGAGGCCAGGTGGACTCAGTCCAGTTTGAGGCCGGCCTCGCAATCAGTAGGTGTAACACCAAAGTGGACTCGGGGCCGGCTTATAAGCGGAAGTGACGTGACACATATACATCGGAGGCCTTTGCCACCTTCTCTTATGTTATTCTTTGTTTTTATCATTCTATCACTTTCTCTTTCCGTCTTTCCTTATGTTATTCTTTGTTTTTATCATTCTATCACTTTCTCTTTCCGTCTTTCCTTATGTTATTCTTTGTTTTTATCATTTTATCACTTTCTCTTTCCGTCTTTCCTTATGTTATTCTTTGTTTTTATCATTCTATCACTTTCTCTTTCCTTCTTTCCTCATGTTATTCTTTGTTTTCATCCTTCTATCACTTTCCCTTTCTGTCTTTTTTGAGTGCGCCCCAATGCATCTCGTAAACAGGCGACGTGAGGCCGGCCTATATGTGTAGACGCAAAATTGCGGGCCCGAGATCATGTGTAACAGGGGTTTGATGATCTCGAGGCGGCTTCAAATTGCAGGCGTGAGGCCGCCTCCGGGGCCCGCTTTAAAAGCCGACGCATGTGTAACCTATAAAATTCCATTCAAATTAAAGGAAAGTTAACAGGAATTAAATTTCCTAAAAATTCCGCATGCCACCTATATTTATCAATTAAGTCTTTGTAATAGCGATACGAGCATATCGTGGAAATTTTGTGAGAGGATGGGAAGGCGTTTGTGTTTTTCCTTATAGGGGTGCGAAGACATGAGCACCCGAACGCTGGCGTACGGATGGGGGGGGGGGGGGGTGGTATATCTTATTCGATACCAGTGATTTACAAAATGTTGCTAAAATGACATGATTTTCCGATATTTTTTCTTAATTTTTGTTGTAAGTCATACCTTTTTATGCGTTTGTTGGAAAATTAAAAATTCCCAAATTTACACTCGGGCGAAAATATGCTTACTTAGAAGCCTTCATGTCAGGGCCTGTAGAACGGCTGGGCTCGGGGGCTCGAGCCCCCTCACTTTTTGGAAAAATATGTTACAGAGAAAAAGAAAGAAAGAGAGAGAGAGAAAAAATAAGTGACCTGCCAATGTCACAAATGAGGTATCAAAATATGTTCATCTGACCGTACTTAAATACCTTAAACCCCTGAGCTTCCGGGGCTCTGCCCCTGGACCCCACCAAGGGCCCTAAAGCGGGTCCTGGGTGCTCATCTGAACGTAATTAAATATATAATGCCCCTGAGCTTCAAGGGGCTCTGCCCCCTGGACCACATTAATGGCATTATAGAGGGCCCCTGGATGCTCATCTAACCGTACTTATACCTAAAACCCCTAGACTCCCCGCCAATTAGTGACCTGCCATTATCACAAATAAAACCCTGTCTAAAAACCCTGAGCTTCCGGGGGCTCAGCCCCTTGAACCCCTGCCGGGGCTCATGCCCTGGACGCGTCGCGCCCTGGACCCCACGCCAAATTACGCTCTATACCTGATCGTTAATACTCCACTTTGAAAAACGTTCCGCGGGGCCTGCATGTATAGTGGTGGTGATGCAGATTTTTCTTCTGCCCCCCCCCCCTTCCAAACATTTTTGGTCATAGTATGCCACTGCCCCTGGAAGATGAGCCCCCTGGAATGTTTGCCTCCCCCCCCCCCCCAAAAAAAAAAATAATAAAAAAATAAATAAATAAATAAATCCCAAACTGCTTCCGGCGCCCCTCCTCTTGTTACTTTGCATACCTTAAATAATACATAACAAATCGTGACCCCTTAATCTAGTAGTTTTTCGACATCTAGCCCCCCCCCCCCCTTTATTCTGATGATCCGCCCCTTAAATATCATTTTATACATCATCCCTTACCAAGATCGTCCCCCCCCCCATTATTCTGAATCCGCCCCTTAAATATCATTTTATACATCATCCCTTACTAAGATCGCCCTCCCCCCCCCCCCTGTATCTGCAAGAGAACTTGTAAGAGAACAACCGATACATTCAACGAAGGCGGCACCGACGACTTCACCTTAAATATACACCTCTGAAATCTATATCCCTATTAATTATATAGAAGTCTGTTATTGTTTTCTCTTCTTTTCGTCGACTCGTTTTTATTTTTGTTGTTCTGCTGATATTTGTTTGATTTTTTTGTTTAGCTTTCGGGTAAGATCGTTTGTTTGTTGGTTTGTTTTTAGCTGGTTTATTTGTTATAATTTTTGTATCGCTTGTTTTGTTGTTGTTGTCGTTGCTACAGTGTGTAGTTGTTTTTCCCACTTTTGTCTTAGCCTTAGGCGGTTTCAAACAAGTATTCAGGATTTCATTGAAGGGAAGAAGATTGAAATGTATAGACGAAAAATGTACAGTGTTATAATTAAAATGTACGTTCCTATTCTTTGGGGAGACCGGGTGTGTTATGTATTTTAATTATTATAGCCCCTAATACAGTAATAGTCTATACTTTTCAATTTGTAACTCAGTTATCTATTTATTTATTAAGTCAACAAAGTGATGATTCAGGATAAAACCTAAAATACTATTTTTTGTTCAATTAAGAATGAATCTATAGGCCTACAGAATAATTGGAGATCAAAACATAACGATAGATATGCTACAAATATTCCTTATGCATCTCGAGCAATTCTCTATCAATTTTGGGTTTGCATCATTTAAATTGCTGCTATACGGTCAAAAAATAATTACATTGAGTTCTATCTCAGAATAATTTTGACAAAAATAATAACGCTACATTTTTATTTAAAACAACGTACACTATCGAACTATTTCAATCATATTTAAGATCTATAGAAGTCCTAGCTAGGACAAACGCCAGGACAAACTTTGGCACTGGCAAAAAGGTGAATTTTTTGTTCCGTGAATGCGAAATGAGTAGAAGACTAGAACTTGTGAAATGTTTTGAACCCGGCTGTGAATCGAGAGTTTCTCTCTATGACGTGACGTGAAAGTATGTTTTTTGTAATTTTGTCAAGAAAAATAACACCCATTTGCATAAAAGCGTACACATGAAACCCTATACGATCAAGATCAACATCTAATATCTACAATAAGTATCATGTGCAGTACCCGACCTTTTCGTCGCTTTGAAGTTTTCATCGGGATCTTGCATCTCTGGTTTGCGGAGACGATTTTAGTTAGTTGGTCACGTCGACAACATTGGAATCGGCACACAAGTTGATAGTGCAAATCAATACAGAATACCAGCTCATATGATATATGTAAAACATTATATTGTTTGATTATTGTAATTGTATTGATACAACACAAATATAGTATCAATAACCAAATTTTGAATACATAATAAATATAGGGCTAGTTAAGAACTTCTACCCATTTTGAGACACAGGTATGACAGCGCACAGTCAGGCTTTTTGCATGCGCGAAGCACGAATGAAAATGAAGCAAGTTAAATTTTGCGTTTTTTATGTGCTAACTTGGTCAAATATTTTGCTTTGATATTTCGTTGCGCGTCTTTTTCATTAAATTTGTTTAATATCATTGTATACTAAAGAATATTAATTTTATGATTATCACAACACATTAGTTGGAATATTTATAAATATTATGAAAAATAAGAGATTAATTTTAAAATCAGGAACGAGATTATTTTTTTTGATGATTTAAACTTAATTTTCTCATTGGACAAGAGTTTGTATGAAAAGTCAATTACATATAACTACGGCGTAATTCATAGTTTATCTATACAAACTGGAAAAAATGTTCTAATCAATGAATGTTTAGAGATAATTCAATGTTTTCATAACTACTAACACATGTAACATTGTCATATGCCATTTAATCCTGTGGTATGTTTTGAAGCAACGCGCAAGAAGCGATGTCTTCTCCTACGTCCGCAATAAGTTATTAAGTATAAGAGCCGACGCGCGAAGAATTTATCAGTTCACTTTCGCGTCTTCTAGATCTAGTTCTATTCAGCGTACGTTCAATTGAGTCTACAACAATGCCTGCTTCTCCGCAAAAGCGAGCTGCGTCTCCCCGAAGGAGCCCGAAGAAGTCTCCCCGCAAAAGCCCAAAGAAGTCTCCGAGGAAGAGGTCAGCCTCTCCTCGTCGTCGTCGTAGGAGCAATGCTCGTGCTGCCACCCATCCTCCCGTCCTCGAGATGATACGGGCAGCCATCACCGCCATGAAGGAGCGCAGGGGGTCATCCGTCTCCAAAATCAAGAGTTACATCGCCGCCAACTACCGCGTCAACATGGCCAATCTTCAGCCCCACATCCGCCGTGCTCTCAGAAGCGGCGTTACCAGCGGTGCCCTGAAGCAAGTCACTGGCACTGGAGCTACAGGAAGGTTCCGCGTAGGAGTCGTGCCTAGACCCAAGAAGGCCAGGAAGACATCTGCTGCTGCCGCTGCCAAGAAGCAGAGGGCTCGCGCCAGGGCCGTTGCCAAGCGAGCCAAGGCAGCCGCCAGGAGGAAGGCTGCTGCTGCCAAGAAGAAGGCCACTGCTGCGAAGAGGAAGGCTGCCAGGAAGGCCAAGAAAGTAAGGAGGCCAAAGAAGGCAGCTCCTAAGCGAAGGCCAGCTGCCAAGAAAGCCGCCAAGAAATCAACAAAGAAGTCTCCCAAGAAGGCGAAGAAGGCAGTAAAGCGCAGGCCAGCTGCTAAGAAGACGAGACGCTCTCCCAGGAAGAGTGCAAAGGCACGGCGCCGATCCCCAAGGAAGGCCAAGAAGTAAACTTCTTCTGACCTCATCTTGACAAATCTTTGTCTTGACAAACCCAACGGCTCTTCTAAGAGCCACCCACAACTCCAAGAAAGAATCAATTGTGAAACTTTTTTTTCTCTCTCAAAAGTTTTAAAATAAAGAATTGTCCCCTCTTCCTGTTTCAGATTTTAAAAAAGTTCTTTCAAGATTGTTAAATATTTTCTGTTTTCTTTTAAAAGTTGAGACTTAAAAATAGACTAAATAGATCTCAGATCTACCGGGATCAGGGCCCCGTTGCATAAAACTTACCATTGATGGTAACTTTGCCATCAATGGTAACTACCATGGAAACCTTGATTTTGATTGGCTGTTGAGCCCTGTTACCATGGTAGTTGCCATTGGTGGTAAAGTTATCATCAATGGTAAGTTTTATGCAACGGGCCCCTAGATCTAGTCTAATATTAATAATTCAAACACTCTTTTCAAGACGCTTGAAAACAACTTCTTCTCACTCCAAACTGTCCGTTAGATCTAGGTGAGGTCTAGATATAGAGTCTAACAAAACTTAGACGGCTCTTTCCTACTTTATTTTTTCTAGATCTAGGATCTAGACCTAGAGTCTAGATTTGATGAAAAAAAATCTAGGTCTAACGTTAGATCTTGAGACGATTCCACGTTCAAAACCCTTCGGAATCCTTAAAAAATGCAGGGGAAAAAAAATTAATGTAGAATCTAGATCTAGATTCTGGGAGTCTAGGCCTACATTCCTACCATCTGTTTTGAAATCGATGCAGTCTCATTCTGAATGTCTTGGTCTAAAAATTCTTTTCTTTTTTAAAGAGGAGGTGGGGGGGGGGGGGGGGCAGGGGATTACAAAAAAAAATTCTCCTTCAAGAGCCCTCGATTACTGTAGAGGGTCTATTATAAATCTGGAAGAAAAAACAAGTAAAGGTTGTTTAATCGGGTGCGTTTCCCACATCTTCTTATTAGAGTCTAGGTCTAGATCTAGACTCTGCTAAAAAAAAAAATCAAAAATGTAATTGACTTTTCCATTATAAACCTTTACTCTTGAGGCCTAACAGTTAGACTATTCCCTCTTTTTCCCCTTCTTTTTTTGTGTAAATTACTGGTAGGGTCTATATAGATCTAGGTCTAGTCTACAGATATTAAATCAGAAAGAAAAAAATACATTTGAAATGAACAGTAGTCTACTGGTATTAAAAATAGAGTAGACAACTGCTCACCAGTTTAAAAGAAATGCGTCCGATTCCGTAACTATAGACTGTGCATTTCATTCAAACCTTGGTTTACTAGAATTAGCCTTAGAATATTCTAATGATCTCGGCTTGCCTACGCGCGAGCCCCATATGACGTCACAAAGCAATTCCACCTCATGAACTTGACCCGCTTTTCCTATACATTGTGACGTCACAATGTGGCTAGACAAACGCTTATAATCGTTGCCAACTTTTTTTTCCCTCCAAAGTTATGCAAAAATGTAAAAGAAAAATCTGTTGTTATGCTTTAATCTTGAAGCGTGCACACATATTTCCGGCATTTAAAATACAGGGGGAGGGGGACTATCCACGAATATTGCAAAATGTATAAATCAACTACTTCCATTATACAACATTTTATGATTGTAATATATATTCAATGTTGATAAAAACAGGAATTACGTACTTTAATGCGATGTTTATTGCAAATAACAGATTATTGATCCTGATAATCAATGCATTAATTTTCTTTACTAAAAAAAAAGGGGGTTGAGTCTAGGTTCAGATGTCCCGATTCCTCCTCCCTCTTTGTTTAACGGATTCAAATTGTTTATATCAAGTTATAGATTAAGACACTTTTTCACGTGATATTTCATATAGACTACATCAAAATTCCAAGACTACGCAAAAGTGAAATGTACGTCTTATAAAATGAATAATTCTCCCCTCACTGCCTACAGGAACCGGGTTGATCATGTATGGTGGTGGTGGGGCTGTATACACACTGTTGCTCATAAAGTTTGAATATTTTTTTTTTACCCCAATTTATGGAATTATTTTGACAATGATTTATTCCTAATAAATCTAGATAATACGTCGTTGTTTTCACGAAGTGACGGTAGTGATGAAAATCGTAACGCAAAGTGAATGCAATTTTTTTTTCTCACTACCGTCACTTCGTGAAAACAGCGACGAATAGTATACATTCTCAGATTTTATTGAATAATAATTTCCCAGTGTTTGTTTTGCGTGGCTGCTAAAGCATGTGTATGCTACTATGCTTATCAACTAGGGGTCCTACGCCCTTAAGTCATAAATGACAGTAATGAGGATTAATGCCCCACAAAAGGGCACTAATATAGCACATCGACACGGTTTTGATCCTGGGACCTCACAGTTACGAGGCCATTGCTTTGCCACTGAACCTTGACTGTACGCAGCGGGGGCTAGGGTAGGGTGCAGTTCCCACAAATAAATTTAAAAAACAAAGAAAATGCAATGAATTATCAATCATTTATTGCATTTTACCCCGGTCCCCAAAATAAAGAAAAATCCTCTGTACGACCATGCATTATGGCTCAAGGAAAGGGCACACAGAATTATTTTTTCTGTATATATAGATAATGTTGATGTTGCTTGGGATATGTGGTTGACTCTATTAAATAATATAATCAACAAGCACATATCAGTTTGTAAAAAGCGGATGAGAAAAACGGCATGTCTATTGACATCTGACGAGATTGTTAAGCTTTTGACGGAACGTGATAAAGTTCTCAAAGCTGCTAAAGCTAACAAAAGTGATGATCTTTGGGACACCTATAAATATCTAAAGAATTCAGTTATTCATCTCATGAGAAATAGAAAAAAGAGAATATAATGCAGACCAGATTTCACAAAATCATCCTAATGGTGTACATGAGCATCATACAAGGCAAATAGACAGTGGATGTTAACGTGTGCCTAGATTTCACACTGATTGTTATAAGTGTAGCCCAATTGTTTCTTCTATATTTTAATGGAATAATCGAGATAATACGATGAGAACGGCTTCCTCTGTCAATCCATTTAAGAGATTGTTTAAACAAAGTTATAATTTGTGAATGGCTCAGCCGAACATACACTACGTGTATGTTTTGTAGTATTAACATGACTTATTCACATAGTTGCGACTTAATCAATATTTTCCTATTGACATTCCTGTTGAACTAGGTTAATGATATATGTTTATTTTGCTACGTCTATTATTGCTGTGTCATATCTTTCTAAATGTACTATGGAACTTTATTTTAACTGTTCTGTATAAACGTTATGCTTTTTGATGTAAATTATGTTCATGTTTATGCAGGTCCCCATGGAAGACCACTACTTATTGGGGAATGGGCTGCCCTGACAAAAGATTATAAATAAATAAAATAAAATGAATTAAGCCCTTAGAAAGAGGGAATTCAGTAGTGAACGGTTTAAGTTTGGTTGGTTGGTTCTTCGTTTAGATGGCGCTCTTCAATCTCAAAGATTATTTGCGCCAGTCAATTTCGTGTATAGCTTTGGCGTGGGCTTCGGAAATCAAGCCCACGAGCGACTTTCCTTGGTGAAATGAAATTAATAGTGATATGGTTTTATAAAAAAAAAAAAAAAAAAAAAAAGCTGCAATATTAAAATTGCATAAAATGCACATAAAAGGCGAGATGGGAGTTAGTTGCAATTGTTCATGGAAAAACCGCAAATACTTCATTTTATATATTATTACAGGATCGACATAAGTTAAGGGGATCCCTGATAGCTTTAAAAGCTATCTAAAACGATTAGTATCGTATATGTAACCCAATAATTCACGAGTAAAAATTGGGTTAGACATCAATAATTGTTTCAGATTGGGGTTGTTCAATTTAATCCTTTCTTTTAAGAGACGTCTATCTTTGTCGTATTTTGTACAATAGAAAATAAAATGTTTAATTGTTTCATCTTCTTGACAAACTTCACAAAGACCAGTATCGTGTTGGTTAATTTGAAAAAGGTAATAATTTAAACTACAGTTACCTACTCTTAGTTGTTGTATCAAGCATTCTTCTCTGCGAGATAGGCCTTGTCTATGTATGGGCTTTGAAACGTCGCTATGCAAAGCATATAAAAATCTACCGTGTTCTGCATTGTCCCATTCTGCTTGCCATAATTTGTTATAATGGATCAAACGAGAGGCTGCCAATTCACTTCTTGTATTTGGTATAACTATGTCTATACACCTTTTCATGGCTCCTTTTTTGGCAGCCCGATCTACGATCTCATTGCCCCTAATATCGCAATGTGACGGAATCCATTCAAAAGCAACACAAACATCCTTAAACTGCAAAATATTAATTATGGATAAAATTTCATTTACAATAGCACATCTAATAAAGTATGAATCGATCATTTGTAAAGCTGACAAAGCGTCGCTAAAAATTACCACCGAAGAGGATTCAATAAATGTATTAATCCACTCTAGTGCCATTAGTATGGCCACTAGTTCTGCTCTCATAATACAGACATGGGATAATCTAAAAAATTTCACCACATTATAATGAGACACATAAAATGCGGCTCCTGTCTTCCCATCCTCGAGTTTAGAACCATCTGTATATATATGTAAAAACCCATTCCATGAATTTCCAATGCTATCTAGAACAATCGATTTTATTTCAAATGGAGGCATAAGTGGTCATGTTGTGTATATCAACACGAGTTGGCGCAAGACCTAACTCGGCACCTAGGCAATACTGGTCGGCCTATCACTTGTTGATAACTTAGCGATTTAAAGATACAAAAAATACAATGTCCCTTATGCAGCCAAAATCATATTATGTAGAACTTTGTAGGAATTATGAATATGTCATGTATGTCCTATCTGTGAAATTTAAGCGTTAGCAGCGTCCTAATATTCAAATTTACAAGGAAACCTGTTTACTGGCTAGACTTCATTGTCAGTCACTATTGAGTGACTGGCTGGCCTTTTCCTCTTTGGTAATAACATACATAACATGAGCTATAACCCACTTCTTGTAATGGCCAAAATTAAACTGATTGAATTTTTGCGCAGCACAAAACTCATTTGAGAACTAAACTACCTGTTTTTCAAGAGCTAGGTCAATTCCAATTAATGTTACACAAATATGTGTAAATTTATTTGACCAGAATATCTGAAAGATAACCTTAGCAAAGATGTTCTTATGTAGATTTTAACCGATAGAATCATGGTCATTTAAAGGCCAGTTGTACTATAGTTCAGCCAGAAGGGATTAGACCACACAGCGAGGTCACTGACAGGTGGCTATCTCATTAACTCAGCTCTCAATTAACATAAGAAAAAGAGGATCATGGGGGACCAACAGGCACCGATTGGGGAAGTTTCTATATAGAGGGGGCAAGTAGCTACAAGTAGTATGGTGTGGCTTTAAGATGTCCAAGACTGATTTTGGGGCTGAGTATGTACCCCCCCCCCCCCTATCCGCCACCGGCCATGAATCCGTCCTCTCTAAATCACCCTTACTTCAAAGATTTGTGAAAATTGTAAATTTCGATAAAATAAAAACAGCTCTAATTCCTTATTCTGCAAGAACTCTGATTGTACACTTAACCACAATTCCTCAAGCCTTTAGCAGAGCCTAGATCTGTCGGTCTATGGCGTGTCTAAGTGCAGAGCCTATGCAGTCTGTTGCCAGCCTAGTCTCATAGTGCAGACACCTTAACTCAGAGCGCCCGACTGACAAGGGTTTGTGCCTGCAAACTGCCCATTTTTATTTAAAAAAAATGTTTGCCCTTATTCAGATTTTCATAATTATACAAAATGATAAAGAGGAGCATAATTGTTCTTACAGTATAAACATAGTACATTGTCTCATACATTATACACACAGACATATTTAAAAAAAAATTTCCGTAAGTATCCAAACTAATATAATACATATTCAATCAAGTATACAAATTGTGAAACAATTCTGTCATTTGGGAGAAGAATATGAAAAAGAAAAAAGTAACGGTAATACTGCATATTAATATTTTCGGATACAACATCATAAAAAGGAACACTTTTTACAGTATAAACATATCTTCTATGCAAATTAATTAGTTCAATGTAAATTTAGCAATCTGAATAAAGATTTTCTTATATCTATATATATATATATATATATATATAAATTGGATAAGGCAGACTAATGGAACATGGTTGCAACTCCGACTTTCACGCCTTGCGAGCGATCATCAGGCAACTGGTAGCATGATTACTCTACAAGTATAAATATATATATATATATATTTACAAAAAGTATAAGGTGAAGGTGCTGCTCCATAACCCATAATAAACCAATTTGCTTTATTTACATAGAATGACATGGTGCATTTTGTTTAACTCCTAGATTTGATTATAATTATATGAGGGTCTCGTAGCATTGGAGGTCTGGTTATTAACAAAAAAACACATTAAAACACAAGCAAACAATGATAATAGATAAGCGGCAGGATCGATGAGAAAGTGAAGGAGTGAGCAGGAATTTGAAAAAGTGTATATATATATATATATATATATATATATATATATATATACAATTACATTTTCCCATTTGTTACAATGTATTGGCAATTTGTCCTTTATTTTATTTTTTCTTATTGAACTGTTTTTCTTCTTCAACAGCCCTTCATATTTCTTTGCTAGTTGGAAACTTTCCATTTTTACGATTACTGTAAATCATATATTTGACCAAAATCAATACATGATTTAACAATATGTCATCTTTCATATTTTCTCTGAAACCAAGTAACACATCGATCCATTGTATTATTTAGAAACTGAAACATTTTAAAATTGTTTCCCACCTCAATCCATATCCTGGACCCTTCAGAACATTCATAGAAGATATGACGATAGGTTTCTATATCTTGTCTACAAGAGGAACATAAATTTAACTGTATTAGTCAAAACTAATTCAGTTTATCATTACAAAATACGATGTTATGTAATATGCCCTTAATTTCCCATCTTGAGTGGAACATCTGGGGATTTAGAAACATGTTGTAATTGCCGACTTATCTAGATTTAAAATTATTACCTCTGGATGTTTAAAAGCAAACGAATCTTGTATTGTAGCAATAAAATTATAGAGCATTTTGGAAGACACAGACTCAAATGAATACACTGTTTTGTTAATGCTAAAGTTAATATTGGAAAGATCAATAGCGTCATTCAGAGTATCATCTCTCCCTCTGCAAATTGTCTTAATATAACAGGCAGCTGGCAATTAGGTGTATAGATCATTTTTTTTAAAACCCGTCTACATTAAGACATTTCCTTATGAAATAGTCCCCTGATCTCATTTCGCCTTCTGCTTCTGTTAAAGATAATATGATTTTCATTATGTGTTTCTTTGACAATATATTCCTTCACTTTTAAATAATTCCAGATATTCAAAAAGTCCAAGTAAAGATTGTTTGCCTTGATATTGATTAATTTGGAATAATTGCAAAAAAATTCCATGCTGGAACTTTGGTCTAGCGCCATCTTGCGTTGAGCGATTGACGCTCAATTACGAGAGTTGTCATTCCTCGTTATATTTCGAGAGGATGTGGTTGATACCCCCAAAACAAACGGCATCCTTTTCCGTGTTAGAGTGTGCGCTTCCTGCCCCTTCCCGCTCCGCTCATTACTCGCGAGTAAACGAGAGTTTTTTTTGTACATTCCTGGTCCAAAGCCACAGGAAAGAAACAAATAAAAGGAGATATAGACTGAGTGTGTGCTGTCCTGTTTGTGAGCGACAGAGTGCGAATTTGGCGGAAGAGGGGGGGGGGGGGGGGGGGGGGGGGGTGGGAGAGAGAAAAAGAGAACAAATGTATGGAGATTATGAATAGATGAAAGTATCTTAACAGAGTAGGAAATAGATATGTAACCTTGAAGCTTGGATACAAAGAAATATTAGAGACAGAAAGAAGAAATGGGCCATGTGCCAAAGATCTAGTAAATGATCGAGAAGAGGATGAGGTAGACTTCCAGGGGGGGGGGGGGGGGGTAGGGGAAGAGATTTGATAGCTACACTGGGACTTATGAATCATTCTAGTACAGTTACCCACGTGCGGTAATCAAATTAGGCACGTCACACAGTGAACCCGGTTGTCCGAACAGATACACACAACAAGTCACATTCTGCAAATATTACTCGAAATGCTGCATACAGACGACCTCTTTTATGTTCTATTCTCCCTCAAACAGAACGCCTTTTGGTCGATTTTCCTTTTGAAAATAATGGATTTTTCTTTAAAAGATTAGTCGAGCATATTATAGTCTTCGCGTGTCTTTCAAAAATATAGCTTTCATTTGTTGAGAAGACGAAGATGTTTATGGAATACTCTCGCGTACGTTAGCAGTGGATTGCGTTGACCTTTAGATGATGGATGAATGGATGAAATTTGGGGGAGCTTTCCAAAGTTGATTTGAAAGTCGGATTTGGAATATTTACCTTTATTTTTGGTAAGAACGCATGAGATTTTGTGTGCATTGCATGTTTAGGAATGATAATCATCTTGCATGTTATTGACTATGACATCTATGTGTAAACACGATATGCAGTTGGTATATACGAGTGGACCAAATGGCTACAGTGTAATGTACATTAAAATAATATTGCGGTACGATTGCCAAAGATAGCACGCGCATAAAATGATGAAGTTAATCATTACAACGTACATAATTATTTATGTGACAAAGAGCGAACAATACAAGGCAAGAGCCGAAATATCAAGGAAAGTATGTATGTATACGTACACTTTGACCCTCTTTGCCTAAGTTTTGGACCACTAAATAACAATTAACAAAGTAAAACCAAAAAAAACACAACAACAACAACAACAACAACAAGACAACACTCAATTGCTGAGGAACGAGCAAAAAAAGTTTAAAAAATAATAATTCTTGCCCATGAGTAGTATATGCAAAATGTCAGTTTCGCCTGTCAATTAAATCAAATCAATTTTATTTTAGCAATAAAGTGTTGTTTAAATCAAACTGTTCGGAATCATTTAACGAGAGAGAGAGAGAGAGAGAGAGAGAGAGAGAGAGAGAGAGGGGGGGGGGGGAGAGCGGGGGAGAGAGCCTCCAGATGAAATCAAAACACGTGAAGTGAAAGTCAAGTATAGCTGATCATAATGATGATGACGATGATTACGGTGATGATGATGGTAATAATGATGACCATGATAGCAATTATATTCTCGATAACAATAATTTATATTGAAAATGCGAATTGTGATGATTGGTAATAATAGTCTTAATAATAATAATTAAATGTGACAAATTGAATTTTCGCGACATATAGCAACTTGACCAAAGTTAACAGGAAGGAGATGAAAGCAATATGAATAGGCTTCCGATTTACATGTTGATATTAAAATAAGTAACAACTCTTTTTGTTAATAAAAGGGACACATTACCAGTCACGTTTCCTTGATAACATGATTCTTTTAATGCACGTCTGAGGTGGACCCTGGACCAATAATGAATATAATTCATCATAAATAAAACATAGAACGAATTAATCAGCAATTATAAGAAAAAATAACATGAGTTTAAAAACAGGGGAGAGACTGAGAGAGAGATACACTTTTTGCCCATAATGTTGGAACATTCTTTTACTTATGTCTAATGATTGAGACAATACATTTCATGCTTGATAAAATGTTTATATCTTTTCCGAACAAGATTTTCCCCAAACTTTATGGGAAACAATGTAAATGAAGGAGAATATGTTTTCCCTTATGATTTCTAGATGCAACACATCGCCATCAGAAATGGAAAATAGCACCAATGTAACCAATACGGATATAAATGATTGTATGAGCATTGATTTTGACAATTCGATTACTAAGTTTTATTTAGAATAATGTAAAACTACACACTGAAGTAATTTCATTCAATTATGTCGAAAATGAGAAACGGGCAGTTGATGAAATAATGTTCCATTGAGGTGAGTCATGTAATTGATGTTATTAATAGTCAATGTTCATAATATTGAAAGCTGGGCCCAATTATTCATAACCTCTTATATCATTTCATATTATTATCATAAAGGTAACATGTCATGGACAAATGATGGATCATGTATTTAAAATAAGTATTTGTAATAAAATAATGTTATAATGTGTTTTTTGTTAAGCAAAAATAGCAAAACCTTCATTATTCAACAGTGTATACATAAAATGGCATATAATGTATGACCGTGGGAACTTGCATCCCAAACGAATTTTTAAATAACTTCTTATGATTATGATGAATTTTGATGAAATGTGACTTCAGCTGGGAATGGGTTAGACAGTATACAAAGGACGATTGCGCTGGAAAGAAGGGATGAGGAACAGAGAGAAATGAAATTAGTTTAGAAACTTGAATAAATTTCAAATGATTAAGTATAAGTATTATCCAAACTTATCAAATATACACCTATTGTTTCATTCAATTTAATTGGTTTATTAGACAACATGCATGATCTAAAGCAAGAAGCTGAATTACAGATGTATATAAAATGTAACAACAAGATCAAAGCAACATATCGATGAAAATGTTGTCTAATTCAATTTTAGATATAAACAGATAAAATACATGTACATGGAATAACTATAACAATAAAACTAATTAGTGAGACAACATTTTAAAACTGGTACCTGCGACTCGGAGCAAAAAAAACTCCACATATTTTTTCACTTAACGTGTATAGAGGGAACGAGAAGTGAGGAAACCTTGCATGAGCTTCTCCGTGACACGTAACACAGTAGGCTAAGTAAGAATGTTGATGGTGTTGGGAAGGAGCTAAAATAAATGGGCACTCTGAGAATAATTTTTTTTCCTGCCAACTTTCCTAGTAGATTTTTAAGGGTTCAAAAGAGGCATCCCCCCCAAAAAAATGAACATAGATCAAATCTAGCAAATCCTTTAAAGGTATTATGTCCCATTTGCAGGCCAAAATAATGAAAAGGTTAAATTCCACCGGCATTTGAAAGATATTAAGATAATACTAATTCAGAACTTCCCTCAAAATGAAAGCGCTTGAAAAAGTCTCTTTGTGTGAAAATAACGACCGTGAGTTGCCGAATCGACTTAAGTGATTGCAATTACCTAATTAATAGTCCAATTTTCAATTATCATTATTATTTTGTACTATATGGTGCACAAATCTACCTGAAAGAGGCACATTTGACGCACAAATTAAAGAATGGTAAAACAATGCAAGCGTCATAAAAAATTAACAATTGTTAGGAAAGTAGAAAACAACAAATGATCATCACATGACATCAACATTATAAAAATAGAAAAATACAGTTTACGAAATACAAATTCATTTGGTTTAAACTTTCACGACACCCATAATTGACAGGTCATCATGATAAACATACATGTACGATAAACTGTAATAGTAGAAGTAATATTAATACTAAAAATGATGATGATGATAATAATAAAGATGATAATAATAATTATTTAATAATAATTTCAAAAAATAACAATACTTCTTCTACCACTAACGATAATAATTTGTTTACCCGGTAAAGCCTTGTCAGCATTAGTGATGTAATTCCTGTGGGCCCTTTAATTATTATTATTACTAATTATTATTATGATCTCAGCAAATGCCAGTTACCCATTTACACCTGGGTGGGGAGGGGCAAATGTGGAGGAGCGATGGCTCAGTGGTAGAGCGGTGGTCTTGTAACCGAAAGGTCCGGGATCGAAACCACGTCGATGCGCTAGTGCCTTTTGGTAAGGCATTAATCCCCATTAACAAGGCATTAATTCCCATTAACAAGTCTCTCGGAGAGGACTTAATGCCGTCGGTACCCTGATGGCTTCATAGCAGTCAGGTAAAACAAACAAAATTGAGTTAGTGCTGGGATTCGAATCCTGAACCCTTGTATGAGAATCAAATGAATGAACCACTAGCCCACGACACCTCAACACATCCAAACTGTCACGATAATGATATGCATTTTGCGACAATCAAAAGTGAATTAAGTTTTTAAAATGTCATCTCTTACAGTTTTCGTGGTTTGATTTTTTGTCAACAGATATATAGAATTGGATTTGGGGGAATGATTTTAATGATCTTTGCATGTTTTCCCTTTTTGTTTTTAATTTACAAACCAAGTTCCCATAATGTAATGAGAATTTTCTTTTTAGTGATCTGTAAATCAATACTTCAACGTTTTAATTCAATCTGATATGAGCTGTGACCGGCTGATGAATGATGTGCACACATTCTCGCATTTTTTTTTCTTCCGCAAACATGGAACCTTGACAAAACAAAGGAGGGATAAATTAACCGCATTCAACGTGATTGGGTTGGAGTATAAACCAAACGGGGACTTGCAAATCTACACTTTATAAGTCCTGGACATAGCAGATCGTTATGTGCAGTGACTACACTCATATTAGAATGGATATAACTTTGTTGTTAGATAGTGGAACGTTATTCTACCCGGTTTTATTTCTCTCTCGACAATAATTCTGATGCCGGTTATACATATAATTCTAATCCGCCATTATCTGACATAGCAGCAGGACTTTGCGGTGAGTTTTATATAAAATGTATTTTATCATGATTATATTTTTGTCTTATTTCAACAGTTTTTTTCGTATTTCATTTTGTTGTCTTTTATTAATTAGTATTGAATTTAACCTTTTTGTAAAGAATGTGTCTGCATAATGCATAGCACAGCTATAAGGGCGTATGCAGAATTCAATGAAAAGGGAGGGGCGAAATGCCCTCCAAAGGGGAGTTTAAAGTTCCTGGGCGTCCTGCGTGGCGTCAAGGGAAACCACATTATTGATTGCTTTTTAACGACGGAGTCATCAATGTGATACAACAGCCTACAAGACCGATTTTGGTAAATTAATAAATATAGTCTGACGGCCCGCGAGACTGACATTGTAAATGTTGAGGGCTGTCGGTCTCACGGGCTGTACCATTTAACGTTGGGGTTTCAGAGTGGGGGGGGGGGGGGAGGGTGGGCGTTAGTCAGCTCCATCCGATGCCTGATACACCCTTTCTATTCACAAGCCCCCTCTATGGAACCGCTATTGTGGCCTGGTTGGCTGGGTTTTTTTTCTTTTAAAAGTCGTTGCTCGGGATACTGCGGGGATGCTGTCAACAAATATTGGTGTATTAAAATGGAGCCCCAAACTAATATTTAAAAAAAGAGAGAATTTTCGAGTGAGCACCCCTAGTGTAAAAGTATGATCCAGACATGGCAGAGTATGTGTTAAGAAGCTTTCACATTAATAATATTTTGTTCAAGAAGAATAGAAAGACTATATTCTGCGGTCGATTCGAAATAAACACAGATGGTGAAAGATTTACATAATTGAATAATATATAATTTTGAGGTAGATCCAATTTCATCTAATTTTATTAAACCAATTTTCAAGGTTGAAAACGATGTATTATGGTAAGAGAGTTTAGAATTTATATTTGATTTTGAGGT